AGCTGGTGCAGGGTATGTGCGATGTCTGTACTGTTTTGGCAACTTCTTGTGAGTCAAACTATTTCAAAATAAAAGGTTATAATAAAAAACTGCTGGGCCGGCCCGGTGGTGCACTGCTACAGTGCACCGCTTGGGAGTGCGGTGGTGCTCTCGCAGAGGGTTCGGATCCCACATACAGACCGGCCGCTCACTGGCTGAGTGAGGTGCGGGTGCAACACCAAGGGTTGCGATCCCGTTGCCGGTCCCGGTCCAGTACAGGCGTGACACTGAGGGTTGCGATCCGTTGCCGGTCACGAAAAAAGACAAAAAGGAAAAAAAAAACTGCTATAATCCTACCATCTAAAGATAACTAATGTCAACGTATTGTCATTTTTCCTTCCAGACTCTTTCTATGCATATATACTTGTGTTTTGTAAGTTATATTGTAGATGCTGTTTTGAAATCAGCTTTTTCCCCCTTTGTAGCAGTGGTTCTTAACTCTGGCTATACATCAGAATCACTTGGTAAGCCTTAAAAAATACTGGTGACTTCCACTTCCAGAAAGATGTAGTCGACATTCTTCTGTTTTCTCCCATCAAGTACAATTAAAAACTCCAGACATTATATACAACACTGACATCAGAAGACTGCCAGGTGGAGAGAGAAAAAAAAGCAGACAGTCTAGGGACATCAGGACCCAGGAAAGGACAGTGTTGAGTTCCCTGGGTTTTCTTTTGCCTCAAATATCTCAGACTTGGAGCTGAAGAACCTGGAACCTGAAAATGTGTATGGGCACAGACAAAAAATTCCCCAACAGAAGCTTGCTCTCTCTAGCCAGAAGAAAAATAAGGTGGCAGCCTGGTAAGACAGAAAACTTTTATACAACTGATTTATTCCAGCCAACCAGCACCAAAAAAGCTGTGCACCCACCCACACTCACTCAAGCAAAGGCTTAGTAGGGAGCCAGGACTTCCACTGTCTCCTGGCAGTAATCAAGTTTCCCTCTTACTCCCCACTGGGGTGTCAGAGGAGGTCTAGTGGAAAGTCCAGACTCTTACCATTACCTGGTTGTATCAAGGCCACCCCCTGTGGTGTAAGTGGAGACCATGTGGAAAGCTAGAACTCATATTTCCACCATGCCCTGCCCCCCAACATTAACAGGGAGCTCCCTTCCCTCAGGTACCAGTGGAGGCTGAGTGCGGACTTCTGCCTGGATCTCTACACTCCCCTGGCAATAATGACCTGGAGCCTGCCCTTCCCCTGTTGGGTCATTGTCAGAGAATGCCACCTAAAACAGAAGGATTGAATAATGTCCAGGGTCTCTACAACATGATATAGAAAATGTCCAGGTTTCTATTGAAAATCACCCTTTGTACCAAAACCCAGGAAGAAACCAAACTGAATGAAGACAATCAATAGTGATGAAAGAACAGAGATGTTAGAATGATCTGAGGAGGATTTTACAGCAGCCGTAACAAAACATGCTTCCAAAAGCACTTATGAACATGCTTGGAAAAAAACCAAAGAAACCGAAAGCCTCACCAAATAAATAGAAGGACCAAATAAAATTTTAGAACTGAAAAATACAATATTGAAATGAAAAACTCAATGGATGAGCTCAGCAGCAGAATGGAGGGGACAGGGGAAAGAATCATTGAATTGGGAGATAGAACAACAGAAATTCCCCAGTCAGAACAAGAGGCAGAAAGTAGACTGGGAAAAAAAAAACAGAGCTGTAATAAGAGATTGAACCTTCATGTCATCAGAGTTTGGGAAGGAAAGATTAAAGAGAGTGGGGCTGAAAAAGTACTTGAAATAATGTCTGGAAACTACCCAATTTGGAAAGAGACATAAACCTACAGATTCAAGAAGCCAGTGCAGTGTTTTGAATTATGTCCCCCCAAAACTCCCTGAAGCTTGAATTGTGTCCCCAAACTATTATATATTGGAGACTTTGCTTGCATTGTGACTGTTAAGAGGGTGGGAAATCCTATTATGGTAACTGAAAGGTGGAGCCTTGAAGAGGTGATTGGATTGTAGGACTGTGCAGTAGTGAATGGATTAAAAATGGTGGTCAAGGGCGTGGCTCTGAGGGCATTAAAAGAAGAGAGAGTCTGTCTGTCTCTCTCTCTGCTCCCTCTGCTTCCACCATCTTGCAATGTGAGACCCCTGGGTCCCTGTCGCCACCACCAGATGGACTTCGGACTTCCCAGCCTCAGAAACTGTAAGCAATAAATTTCATTTTTCTTTATAAATCACCCAGTTCAATGTACTTTGTTATAAGCAACAAAAATGGACTAATACACCAAGCAAACTTCAAACATGATAAACCCAAAGAAATTCATGCCAAAACATATTATATTTAAACTTCTGAAAGCCAAAGATAAGAAAGTATCTTAAAAGCAGTCAGAGGAAAGGGACACCTTACCTGCAGAGCAAAAAGTAGTTGGAATGATAGTGGATTTCTCACAAAAATCTATGGAGGTCAGAAGGAAGGGTCACAATACTTTACAAGTGCTGAAAGAAAAGAACTGTCAACCCAGAATCCTACACCCACTGAAAATACCCTCTAGAAATGACATGAAAATCAAGATATTCTCAGATAAAGGAAAACCAGGAAAATTTGTCACCAGCAGATCTACTCTAAAAGAATAGTTAAAGGAAGGTCTTCAAACATAAAAGAAATAATAAAAGAAAGAACCTTGGGATATATTAGGAAGGAAGAAAAAACACAGTATATAAAAATATGAGTGAATAGAATAGGCTTACCTTCTCCTCTTGGGTTTTCTGAATTATATTTGACAGTTGAAGGAAAAATTTTAATATTGTCTGATGTGGTTTTAAATGTGGTTCTAGATATTTAAGATAAGTATATTAAAAGGGGGAAGGTAAAGGGAAGTCGGATTTCTCTACTACACTTAAACTAGTAAAACTTCTATATAAGTAGACTATATTAAGTTATGAACTCATATATATCAGGTAATACTATTAAAACTCATATATAACTCATATCAGGTAATACTATTAAAACTCATATATAACTCATATTAACTTATGAACTCATATATATCAGGAACAACTATTAAAAAGCTATATAGGGCCGGCCCTTGGCTCACTTGGGAGACTGCTGCGCTGGTAGCGCCGAGGCCACGGGTTCAGATCCTATATAGGGATGGCCCATGTGCTCGCTGGCTGAGTGTGGTGCTGACAACACCGACCGAGGGTTGCGATCCCCTTACCGGTCAGAAAAAAAAAAAAAAACTATACGAAGAGATACATTCAGAAAGACTATATGACAAGTCAAAATGGAATTCTAAAAAATGTTCAAGTAATTCACAGGAAAGCAGGAAAAAGAAAACAGAAAAATGAAAAAACGAGAGAACAAGTATAAAACAAAAACATCGATAAAATGGCATTAAGAACAGGAGCAGGAGTGGTGTCGAGGGAGGTATATTCGTAGACGTGGATATAGCGTAACACAAGGAATCGTTGCGGTGATGGAAATACTCTTTATCTTGACCTCATCAATGTCAATATCCTGATGGAGATATTGTGCTGTTGATTTGCTAGATGGTACTACTGGGGGAAACTGGGATTTCTCTGTAGTATTTCTTACAACTACATGTGAATCTGCAGTTGTCTCGAAGTTAAAATTTCAATTTGATTGTTAAAACCACTGGAACCTGGGTCCCTGCTCAGACCAATGAAATTAGAATCTCTGGCAGTGGGTCCTAAGTATCAGCATTTTATAAAGTTCCTCAGGTAATTCTAATGTAGAGCCACGATTGACAGCTACTGATTTAATGACACACAATCAATATTTTCCCAGATCAAATACTTCTGTACCATAATTTTGAATGGTGGTATTGTATTTCAGCAGATGAATGTACCAGGGTCCATTTAAGCGATACCCTACTATTTGACAATTAAGTTGTTTCCAATGTGTTGCTGTTATAAATAAATAGATTAATGTTTGGACACATCTATTAGTATTTCCTTTATTAGAGCATGAATATGCTTAATGTTTTCAATCCATCTTGCTAAACTGGCACCCAGGAAGGAGGAGCAATCCTGACAGTTTCTGTGTGTATTATTTCCCAAACACCAGACAACAGGAGCATCATTCTTTAAAATATATGCTTATTTGGGAGATTAAAATTTTCTCTTTGATTCTTTAATTTACATTCGTGATGTAGGTTTTTTTTCATGTGGTTTATTGGCCACTAGTATTTACTCCTTTGTGAATCACGTGTCCACACACTTTTACCATTTTTTTTAAATGGGAGTGTACCTCTTTTTCCTACTCATAAGAGCTCATACAAAAGATAATTAAAGGATATTAACCCATTTCTGTCATATAAGTTGCAAGCATTTTCCTCAGTCTTTCAATAGATATTCAATTTTGATAATGATGCTTTTTTACCATGGGGAAGTTTGTGATTTTTATGAAGGCAAGTCTATCAGTGCTTCCCACAAATATACACACCCAAAATTTTTAAGGCTTATTAGCAAAAATGCACAGGAATTATCTTTAAATAAATAAAAATTTAAAAATAAATTATTGAGAGGGATTAAATCTTTCTGGAGAAACAACCCATCTTCCTGAATCAGAAGACAAAAATTGTTAAAATATCAATACTGTATAAACTTAATGATATTCCAAACAAATCTCCAAAGGGATTCTTATTTGTGGAGCAGGAAGAATGGAGATTTTTACCAAGGCTTCAAAGTTCGTCTGGAAGAAAAAAGACAAATTTTAAAACTTTGAAAAATAAAAGTTGTAAAAGGGGCTTTGCTCTGCCAGATGTAAAACCTATAATTAACTACAATACTTAAAAAATGTTGCATTAGTAAAAAAATAAACTTGATCAGTGTAATAGAGCAGATAGCCCAGAAACAGGCACAAGTAGATTTGAGAATATTATGTGATAAAGTTGGCATTAAGAATCAGAAGAAAGGAGGAATTATTCAATAAATGATATTGGGGAAATCTATAATCTTTTTTTTTTTTTTTTGGTGGCTGGCCTGTACAGGGATTTGAACCCTTGACCTTGGTGTTATCAACACTGCACTCTAACCAACTGAGCTAACAAGCCAGTTCCTGGTTATCCATTTAGAAGAAAACCAGTTAGGCTCTTTACCTTGTACCTTCTTCTAAAATAAATTTCAGATATATTAAATATAACAAATAAAACCAGAAAACAGCTTTTTAAAAGTACGGGGAAGTATATATCTGACCTCAAGTTGCAGAAAGCCTTTCTAAGTGCTTCAGCAAAGAAAAAATTGATAGATTTGGCTCTACAAAAATGTAAATATCCTGAAGTGCAAAGAAAAACACATCATAAACAAATGGCAAATGTTTGCCATATATGTAGAACAAAAGCTTGATATTCCTATTCTATAAAAGTTTTAAGAAATCAAAAGAAAAAGATACAGCCATTGTAGAAAACAGAACTACAGAGAGAACTACCACACAAAGAATGGTTAGGTTTTGTAATGATTAATATGCTAATTATACTGGTTTGATAATCACATATTGTACACAAATATTGATAGTAACTCCCCCACAAATAGGTATAGTCAATTGTTTCAATAAAAGTTAATTAGTTATATTAAAAAAAGAACTGCCATATGATCCAGCAATCCCACTACTGAGTACACATTCAAAGGAATGGAAATCAAGTTGAAGGGATACCTGCTCTCCTACATTTATCTTGGCTCTATTCACAACAGCCAAGCTTTGGAACCAACCTAAATGTCCATCAGTGAATGACTTGATAAAGAAAACACGGTATATATACACAATTCAATACTACTAAACTGGAATCCTGCCATTTACAGCAACATGGATGAACTTGAGAAAATTATGTTAAGTGAAATAAGCCAGGCACAGAAAGAGAAATGTTACATGTCCTCATTCATATGTGGAAGCTAAAAAAGTCCTGAGTAGTAGTTACTAGAGACTAGTAGGGGGAGAGGACAGTCAATGGACACAACATTATAGAGAGACAGGAAGAATAAGATCTAGCAATATAGGGAGACTACAGCCAACAGCAAATTATTCTATAACTTTAAGTAGCCAGTTGGGAGGATGTTGAATGTTCCCAACACAAAGGTCACAAATGTATGAGGTGATGGATATGCTAAATACCCTAATATGATTATTGCACACTGTATACATGTACCCAAATATCATATTGCACTCCGTAAATATATAATTATCACAAGTCAATTAAGAAAAAATTAATTTAAAAGAAAAAAATTTTTTCAGAGACAGAAATAGATTAGAGGTTACCAGAACTAGAGGAAAGGGGGAATAATGAGAAGATATTGCTTAATGAACACAGAGCTTATGTTTAGAATGACAAAAAAGTTTTGGAAATAGGTAGAGGTAGTGGTTGCACAGCAATGTGAATGTAATTAATCCCATGCAACTGTGTGTTTAAAAATGCTAGAAATGGACATTTTATATTATTTATGTTTTACCACAATAAAGTGAACAGGAAAAATAAAGAAATCAATAAGAAAAAGATTAACACTCTATTAGAAAAGTTAAAAGGAGAACCAAGCAAGCAACATAAGAAAAAGTAAGTACTTATGGCCAATAAACTTATGGAAAAGTGTTTCAATCACAAAGAAATGTAAATTAAAACAATAAGAAAATACCTTATTTTAATTTTCACTTTGGAATTTTTAATTTTAACACCAAATATTGGCAAGGAAGTAAGTTAATAAAAGTAGCTAATATTTACTATAGGATTCGGTACTATCCTCAGTTTCAGACATCACTAGTGTACTGAGCACTATGAGCCAGGAAATCTCACATGTGTCGGGTAGGAGTATACATAGTTACCATCTTTCTAGAGAGCATTTAGAAAAATATATCAAAGAGTCTTAAATTTTACTCATACTTTTTGACCCAGAAATTCTATTATAGAAATAATAGGAATTCCTATAATTTAGGAATTATATTATTATAATAATTATTATAATTAAAAATTAATTGCTATAATTCAGCAATTACCTTATAAAACTTATAGAAATTCATTCTAAGGAAAGAATACAAGAAACAAATACAATCTTATGTACACATATACCAGTTACAGTGTTTCTTATAATAAATAATTGGAAAAATTCTAAATAAAAAGGAATTATTTAAATATTTTATTATACACCCTTCAGATGGGATGATTTGAAACTATTAAAAACTGTGTTTAGAATATTTGACAATATGAGGAATGCTAATAATATACTGTTATTGAAATTTTGGATTACAAAAAATCAATACATATTTGTAAGGAAAAGTACATATACAGAAAAAAAGGAAAGATTGGGATTACACACCAAAATGTTAACAATGATTTTCTCTGAAAGTTGGGATGATAGATGGTTTTCATATTTTTCTTTGTGTTTTCTATGTTTGTATTGTCTACAATAAACATGTGTTTATAGTCGTAAAACAGACCTTATTTTTTAAGGCTGAATATGCACAGCAATAAAGACTACAAATACATTTGTCAATGGATGGTGTAATTTTTTATAATTATCCCTTTTTTATGTTTCTAAATACTGTAATTTTGCAATAATGTGTCACTATCATAATCTGAAAATGGGAGTGCTACATAAAAATACAGAAGAATTTTGGTCTGGTCTCAGTGTTACCCTGACTTGGGTGTGTGTCTCAGCTGATCCAGGTTCCTCCCAGTCTGGGAGTCATAAAGAAACTTGTGTGACAGTTGTCTAAGCATGAGGCATATGAGCAGCACCTTGGAACTGCTCAGCTCCTGAACCTGGACCTGAAGGTTGACTCAGCTGTAGAATAGTGACAAGTGGTACCTGTCATAATACTGAGAGTAGTAGTTAATCGTTAGTAAACACTACAATGTGCCAGGCCCTGTGCTAAGCACTTCACATGCATTTGACTCCTGTAGCAACTATTTGAGGTAGTGGCTGTGATTATCCCTTTTTTTGTTTTTGGGGGGTTTTTTTGTTTGTTTGCTTTTGTTTTTGTCTTTTTTCGTGACCGGTAACGGGATCGCAACCCTCGGTGTCGTGCCCACACCGCGCTCAACCAGTGAGCAGACCGGTCTCTATATGGGATCCGAACCCTCGGCGGGAGCGCCGCTACACTCCCAAGCACAGCACTCTACTGAGTGCGCCACCGGGCCGGCCCGATTATCCCTTTTTATAGATGAAGAATATGAGACTCCCGTCCAAGCTCCACAACTAGTAATGGGTGGAGTAATCTTGTCTCAGAGCCCACATTTCATATTGCAGGAGATCTTGTTGAGGTCCCTCTTCACTGGAGGCAGGTCGGGGCCACTGCTCCTGGCCAGGCTAGGAAGCCTGGGAGATCTGAGGGACCAGTAGAGACTATGATGTAGGTTCATTTGCATGGATTAAGCCAACACAGGATGGGGATGAGAGAAATCTGGGTGGAGGAGGGGGACGGGGTGGTCTTATGCCTAGAGACCCTGACCCTGAGTTTCCCATACTTCTGGCTGTTACAAAGTCATAACCAGGTCACTATGTCTCAAGACTTGACATTAATATAGAAATGCAGGTGGCATAGCTGAGTGGCTATGCATGTGGACCATAGAGACAAACTGTCTGGATTCAAAGTCTAGCTTTGTACTTATCCTGTGAACATTCTTCCATGCCATTAACTCCTCTGACCCTCAATTCTCTCATCTGTAAATTTGGAGTAATAATTGTACCTACTTCATTAGGTCATTACAGAAAGTAATGCAAAGTATTGTGGAAAGTAAATTTAAAGTGCTTGGTAAATAATAAACTCCCAATAAATCTTAATTTTAAAAGTTTGTTAAAATTTTAAGGTTTATCACTAATAGAATTAAAGATGTAAAACTTCCAAGTCACTAGAGAGGAAGAAATTAGAAAATGTATTTAAAGATGCAAAATAAATAGAAAACATAAAATAGAATGGCAAGAACACCATGAAACTTAGCAATGGTTATAATATACGTAAACAGGTTAAATTCCTTCATGAAAGTCAAAAGAAAGACTCTCAGAGAGTCTTTGACTTTTGTTTTATAAAGATCAGGATTGGTACAGGAACTAGAGTAGGTTTGTCCCTGAAGATTGGGGGTTATCAGTGAATCCAGCTATGAGAAGCCAGAAAAGGAGACCAGAGAGGATTGTGAAGGCTTGATAGAGATAATATTCACTAAGCAGACAGAAGCTTCACACTGTCGATTCAGATATCCCCAAATATTGTCCCAGTTTGACCCATGCTGTGTGATCACCGGGCTCTTCCCCCTGTATCTAGATTTGCTGGACTGGCCCTCAGATGTGATGATGCCCCAGTGCAGGTTCCTACTCTGAACACAGGTTCCATCATCTGGTACTGAGTGAAGACTGACCTATGACCAGCCAGGACAGGACATGATGCCTCCCTTATGACTGGGTATCCCCTCCCAACAACTCAGTCCCATACCTGCCCTGCCCAAACCTTTGGCTCAGCCAGTAGTTGATGGGGACACTGAGCTTTTCCTACCCACACCCTCACTGACCACATGTTGGTTCATAGCATGGGTAAGACAAACCATACTCCCAGTTGTCTATGCCCTGCTCAAATCACCATCACGTTGGTGCATTCATGTCAGACTGACCCTGGAATGCTTATGACCTCTATTTATTGCACACTTAAGGCATATTGTGCATGGAACTAAGTGCCTTACAGACATAACCTCATTTCTTATGCACTGTTCACAGCAAGTCTTTGAGGAAGGAACTGTTCTTAATCCACATTTTATAGAAGAGGAAGAAATTGAAGTTCAGAGGAATTAAGAAACTTGTCCAGAATCTCCAAGTAGGAAAGGCATAAGAACCAGATAATAATCCAAGTCAGTCTTCTGGAGCCTGAGTTTTTAAATTGGTACAGTCTTTTGTGTTTTTCCTTATCCTCCACCCAAGGTAAACATTTTGTGATTATTGTGGTCTTATTTTGTTTGGTAGGCTCTCTTGCATGTGAACTTTCCCCCTTGATATGCATACCCACATTCATGCCTAATTTTACATAGCTGCGCAAGTGCAATCATATGCATGCTTTTCCAGAATAGCCCTTCCTTTTCTT